TCTGATTGTATGCAGCGAATGGCGACTGATTTCAGTGACTATTTGGCGGTGGAAAGGAAAAAGTCCGAGCTTCTTTTGGCTGAAAAGGAGTTAATGCTGGCAGAGAAAAAAAAATTAATCCCCAAGATATTTTGGCTGAGTTGAAGGCTATTGAACTTGATGACATGCAGATGATCAAGGCTGTGGATTTGATGATGCATGATCACATATTATTCAATACATTTGTGGGAATGCCAACAGAGTTGAAATACAAGTGGTTGAAAGTGCAACTTGATAAATGAAGATTGTGAAGAATAGCACAAGCATTGATGATCTTATTATCATTCAATTTGAACTTTGTTTGAATTTAATTTGTTGTTTCAACTTGAACTTTGTTTGAACTTAAGTTAATACTTCTTCTGTCAACTTTGTTTGAATTTAAGTTTGGTATATTTGATCTATTTGAATTTATAATTGTTCAATTTTTTATTGTCATAAATGTCTAAAGATGGTTATTTTAAAAAAATGATGGTAGCCGTAATGTATATTAATGTCATTTTTTGAGTTATCAAATAGTGGTTGGGATCATAAAACAATTTCATATCAATTGTATATATAATTTTATGTTACCAAACAAAGAATTTGGAATTACAATACAATTCTATATCAATTCTTTAATTACACCAAACAAAGGATTTGGAATTGAATTAGAATTCAATTCCATCCAATTCAATTCCATAGAATTCCAATTCCAATTCAATTCCAATTCTGCGTACCAAACGGACCCTAAGGGTAAAAGTGATTTTTTAATAGAAAGGGGAAGTGTTTTGTTGGAAGTAAAAAAAATGAAAGAGGAAGTGTTTTTGAGAATGGAGGGAGTAGAAGATTTTTACATTTTTTGTTTGTTCACTAAATTATTTCATTTTCAGTCGTGGAAAAGCTTTAGGTTTGATTTCTTTTGAGAAAGCACTTTTTAGAAGAATATATTCAAAAAAAATAACCTTTTATATTGAGTTTTGCTGACAAAAACCAACTTTTAAAATGAGTTATCCCATAAACTTTGGCGAAACTGCGATTGGCATGAATCGTGAACAACATCCAAAAATCCAAAATGAATACTACTCCGTCTCTAATAATTTGTCCAATTTTAATTTTTTTGGTCAATTATTTTTAATATTTGATTTATAGTTAAATAAAATATATATTGTATATTTTGGATAGAATAATACGGAGTATCATTTTTATTTTATATAAAGTCAAAGTTTATAAATTTTGACCTAAAAATATTAAAGTGAACAAATATTCGGAGACAGAGGGAGTATAAGGCTAAAATTTACTTCCACCCTCCCATAATAGTTTACGGAGTAATTTTTTTAGTCAAACTGCTATATATACTTTGACAACAATTTAAATATATAAATATTCTGTAAATATTATAAAAATTTGATATTTTTAAACTACATCTTACACAAAATTTAATTTTATTAAATTTATATTATAACTAAATACATACGGAGTAGTATTTCTTATAATATGTGGTCAAAATTTGTGAAATTTGATTTAGAAATATTCAGAGTGTAAGAAATTTTATGAGAGGAGGCGCCTAGAGCATATGACTAAGATATCATATGAATATGGGGAGAGGCATGGATAATTAAAGTCGGAAAAATGAGTATTTGTTGCTATTCTGATTTCTAATGCCTTTTTGGATGAAATTAAACAACTATTCTATTTTCATATATACCTTGTAGTTAAGTTTATTGTTAATGTTGTAGATTAATTTTAAGAGCATTATACTCCCTCCGTTCCATAAAACCTTTCTCCTTTCTTTTTTTATCCGTCTCATAAAAAACTTCTCATTTCTATTAAAAAGTCACTTTAACCCCTTACTTTTTCATACCTTAACTATCACATCATACCTTTTTACTAATACTATATCCATCAAATCATACTTTTACCCATCACATCAAAGGACATTTTTAGAAATTCAATACCAAAATACACTCCTCTTAAATCCCTCCTAAAAAGCAAAACTCACATGTTTCACGGCATGGAGAGAGTATTAATTAAAACACTCCCATTACATAGACATTTTTAAGAATACTAGAGCCTCTTGGGGAATAGCATTAGGGATTACCGTTAACGTTTTGGATAAACCTTTAACGATGCAGATAACTTTGAAAACGCTAACGCTAAATGCTGTTCGTAGATAGATTTTTCAAAGAAATATTTGCACAAAATAGCACTAAAACTTAAGTCATTTCCCTAGATAGCATTTAAATTGTTTTATTCCCTAAATAGCACTTAATAATATTCATAGTATCCACTAATGAAGAATATTTGCTAGAATAATGCATAATGACTAAAAGTGCTATATTGGAAAGAAAAAACACATGTAGTGCTATTTAGGGAAAGTCATTATGTTTTAGTGTTATTTAAGTAAATTTTTCTTTTCCAAAACACTAACGTTAATCGCTAACGTTATTCTCAAACAGACCCAAAGAGGATTGCCAGCGGTTAGATAGTAATGAAATGGATAGATTACATACCTGAAGCATCTTGTTGACATTGCTGGCGCCAAAGACCTTGTGGACGCTGGCAAACTTGAGCGGCTCATCCGCCGGAAAATAAGGGGCGAAAACGCACTCTCTCGCGCACCTCCTCCTCAGCAGCTTGCACGCCGCGCACGGCGATGCTCCCCCGCCTTGTTTCCTCCCGCCACCGCCACTGCCGCCGCCGCCTTCCTTACTAATCCCCATCATCATCTTCTTTTCTCCCTTTCTTTCTCACCAAAAAGTTAGCTAAAGTATTTATATTTACTTTCTAAGCCACTGCTATACCTAGCTTAATTAATATCTTCATCAGTCAACAACAACAGCAATATAATTTCATGTAGTGGTACAGATAATCAGACACTTAATTATCATGCATAAGTGTATTTAATTTGGACTGTAGTATGTATGTGTAATATAACTACCTTAAAAGTACTGTAATCGATTACAATTCTATAACGACTGCCACAAAGAGGATCATGGCTGGCTTATTTAAGAGGGTATTGTACACTACAACACATGCAGTGGCAAATTAAAACTGTAATTTGTTTTCTAGGAGAAAACCAAACAAGATATATATAGGAAAAAATTGTAGGAAAGAAAAAAAATTAAAATGGTTGAAGACTAGATAGGTTGGGTGTTACTCCCTCCGTCCCAAAAAGATTTACACCTTTCAAAAAAATTGCGTCCCACAAACTCCTACTCATTTCTATTAAAAAACCACTTTTACCCCTTACTTTTTCAAACCCTACCTATCACATCATACCTTTTTCCTAATAATCTACACATCACATCCTACTTTTACCCATCACATCAAGGGTATTTTTGGAAAGTCAACACAAAATTATCCCTCCCTTAATTTTAACTTTAGTCAAAATGGGTAACACTTTATGGGACGGAGGGAGTATTAATTTATAGAGAAGAGGTAAAGTAGAGGGGAGGAGAAATTAAGACCATAGTGTTATGACAGGCTTAACGGAGCTTGACCGAGTATAAAAAAATATGACGCGGAGCGATAAAAATTCATAAAAATATGTGTGTTGTGGGGTTTGAAAAAGGAGCGTGACTAAAAAGTGAAAGGATGAAGATGTGGATTATTTTGATTGGTTAAAAAAAAAGGAAAGCCGCCTTCACGGTTGTTCAATTCATTTTTGCATCAATATGTTCTCTTCAATATATTTTTTTACTTATTAAATATTTTTATTTGAATCATATCAAATTAGAAATAAATTTAAACATAATTATAATCAGATCAAAAATTAATCAAATTGGATCAGAATCATTTAAATAAGTTGAAGAGAACAAACACGCAAATCTTTTGTGGGTCATAGGAAAGAAGAATAATGCATTTGGATTTAGGAGACAAAAGCATCAATTTCACATTGATCTTTTGTGTTTGGACCCCCCATATTCATATATCCCAGATTTAATTTGTTTAATTATCAATCCTCCCATCAGTTGGATGGGGTTGCATTCTTCTTTGCTCCAATTGTCACTGAGGTGTTTCTACTTTATTTTTTTACTACCTTTTGCATTCAAAAGTTAATAATTACCCCAAGGGTAAAATGTCTTATAAGTTTAGTCCCTTGTTAATTAAAGTTGGTTAAGAATGGACTAAGTTTAATCCATTAATCAAACAAGTTAATAAGTCAAACAAGATAAATGTTGATCATCATTTAAGTAAAAAATATGGAGTATATTGTATATTTGTTCAAAACCAATTTTACCCGACTTTATATTCAAGTGGTTGAGAATTTTATCCGATACTTTATCCGTTGCTCTTGCTTGGCCCATCGGGATTTAAACAAAAACATTATAAAATGTATTTCATTATATTAATATGTAACACTAATTAAATTTAATATAGTTAATGGCTAACGTTTATTAAATTCAATATAATTAATGGCTCGTCCTTTGATAATGTACATATATAAACACTGAGTATATACAACTTAAGCAAGTTTTCAAAATAAATAAATAAACAAATAATCTAAAACAAGATAAGACAAATGGAGAAAATAGGCATTACTGTTTGCATTGTCTGAAAAATAAATTTAAAGTAAGATAAAAGTAATAAAAAACAGTTAAAACTAACGTTGTTATTATCCCCATTTTATGAGTGAAAAAAATGTTGAGAGAAACCGTGGGTAAACATTGGTGGTTGCATTCAAAGGCATTGTTGGGGATGAGGACAAATAATTAATCATGTTACAATCCAATGAATAAGAGCTATTGCCAATTGTTATAATTAGGTTTTGAAAAAATGGACTCTTAGCATTTAATTTAATTTGTTGGTAGTTGTTGTACACTTGTAGTACTAGCTATATATCTACTAGGAATTCAAGTAGGAAATGAAATTTTGTGTCTAGAGTAATTAACTAGCTTAGCAAGCGGTTCTATCCTAGCTAGGAGCCTCAAATTGTACACTACAATAAATTCATTTGCCAAACAAAATTAAAGTACTCCAATCCATTTAATTTGTCTAAAAACATTGCTTTGTTTGATGGTTTCAATATTGTTTTAATAAAACATGTTATAAAGATGAAAGGTGTATCGTTAAAATTTGTTTGGGTGCGAGAAATATCGTGTGAGTTGCATATTAGTTACTTTAAAAAGATATGATATCACTTAGAAATATTTTTTAAGGTATCTAAAAAGGAAAAAATGGAAGTGCTTTTTTAGAACGTAGGGGTCCTTATTTCCTTTTTTGATCGTCCTACCTTAACGTGCATTTATGTTGTTAATTAAAGAGTGTCCCACCTGAAAACTTCAAGAGAAAATAAATCGGTATATAACTATATAAGCTTTTGTGTTGAACTAAGTAATTGATTAAATTCAATATTTTAATGTGGTTCAACTCAAGTGCCTTATGGCCCAGTCCAATGATGTCTTCCCCATTCTAAATTCTTACACGGTATCAGAGCATGTCTTAACTACCTCATTTATTAAGATGCATATCTAAAAATTCATTCCTAGCGACCTATTTGTCTTTAGCCTTGTTGAGTGTATAGAGAATGGCTTGTGGCACATATAACCCAATTATTCATTTGGAAGTGAATGTCAGGCGATTCTTGATCTTTTAGGTGTTGACACTTTCGATCCTTGGGGAGAGGGAGTCCATTTACAAGTGGTCAACCGATTAGATTATATTCAAAATGGTCTGGTTGTCCAGTTGAGGGTGTTAAAGAGTATTCCACATCGAAATTTCAAGAGAAAATAAATCGGTATATAAGCTCTTGAGTTGAATTAAGTAATTGATTAGACTCAACGTGTTAATGTGGTTCAAATCAAATACTTTATAACACAGTCCAGTAATACATTTCCCATTCTAAACTATATCATACCTTCATACTTTTTTCATCCCACAAGTTTTACAATTTGATTCACGAGATTAATTACTTCAGTTGGTGCAGACCAAGTACATGGCCCGTAGAGGATGCAAAAAAGCGTTGGAGTTGAGTTCGAGTTCTAGCGAAGGTAACATGACATTTAATGTGTTTCATATGCATGGTCTTTGTTGGGACTAAAGACAAATTTCACTATCTATTGATCAATTGAGAATAGAACTTCAATTGTCCTTTCTCAAGTAACTATCCGGATGAGAGTGAGGAGATGCTAGGATGGGGTTCTTCAGTTCCGTTTTTCACCAGATTAAGAATCTCTGAAGTATTGAAAAGAGAAAGATCTTCGTGGGCTATATATTTCTTTTTTAAAAGGAACGGAGTAAAATAAATGAAAAATCATATAGAGACGCACAAAAAAAGTTTCCAAAAATAAAAAAATGAAGCTTTTTCTTTTAAAAGGGAAAGAGTAATTAATTAAATATATAAAGTAGGTTGAACACCTTCAATTCAAATGAGATTAGATCATAAAGGCAATTCAATCCACTTAATTGCCTGCATGCTCCTAGCTTAAATCATGTCCAATCTTTGCTCCCTCGGGACAAATATAATACCAGAAATTCACCTACTGATTCCTTATATCTTTGACCTCCCGTTTGACTAATTGAGTGGAGTATAATTAATGTATTATAGTTTTTGTTGTATTTTTGTTTATTTCTATTTTCTAACCATACATATAATTATGGATTTGGTTGTTCTTGGGGATTTATTATATGGATGAATGGGGCACGTATTAACATTTAAAACAACTTCTAACGTTTATATAAACTATTTTTAGGCCCCATTAGGCATCAACATTAGAGATTAGTGTTACGATTTCGAAAAGACTATTCGACGATAGCCTTTAGCGTTAACATTTTCGGACGGGAGAAAGACCAAAGTAGGACCAAAACATTGAAAATATATCGAAATAGAACTTCCATGTTTTTTCATTCCCTAAATAGGACTTAAAATGAGTTTACATTACCAAACATGATCATGTACATATATTAGGAAAAAGTATAACAATGTGTACATGTACAGTAACACATTACAACCACATTACCACAATGTGAAATCCTATTTTGGGAAAAAAATAAGAAAGTTCTGTTTTGGTACTTTTTTCTATGTTCTAGTCCTATTTAGGGTGATTTCTATTTCCAGACTTAATCTACAGCATTAAAATTTTAACCAAAATGCTAACGTCGAAAACATTATTTCCAAACAAGGTCTAAATCTACAACAACTTAAAACTTTTATTGGATGAGGTTGAAGAATAAATTGATTGGTTTGCTCTTAAGAACAAGAGGCATGCTAGGGGTACACCAAAATGAGTACCCCATTTGTACACCATGCAAACACAGACAAATACAGACACTAAGGCCTCGTTCCATTCAACTTATTTTTTCTTACTTTTTCTTATTCTTATTAAAATTAGATCAGATCAGATTAGACCAGATCAGGTCGAATCATATCAAATCAAATCTAACCAGATCAGATCTAATCAGATCAGATCAGATCCAATCAGATCAGACCAGATCAGATCAGATCCAATCAGATCATACCAGATCAGATCAGATCCCATCAGATCAGACCAGATCAGATCGGATCCAATTAAGAATTATTATTATTATTATTATTATTATTATTATTATTATTATTATTATTATTATTATTATTATATGAGAAAAATTATGAGAAAGTAATCCTTAATTATTAGTCGTCAGAAAAATTATTTTTAAAATACATTGACAATGTCAATCTAATTATACTTTTAAAATACATTTTTATTGATACCTGTAATTTGAATTTCTAAAGTTTTGATCTTTTACTACATCGAGTTGATCAACTTTGATCATGACTTAAATAAAATTAACATTTGATATTCATATATGGAGTATATTTTAGTGTAACTGAAATAACTATTATATCTATGGTGTTATATCAATCATAAAAGCACACGTTGATATTTTATAAGGATAAGATATTTTAATAAAAATACTATCTCTTCTCTAAATTGATT